ATATATATGTTATATTGTTAAACAGAAGTTTAAAGTTACTATTGTATTTTAACGAGTCCAATAATTTTTCGAATAAAATTTGACAAGACAGTGTACACTGAATTACTTCTCAAACTTATATTATAAATACACATAGTTTGCATTCGATAGTTATATCATGTATGTATTAATTATAGTCAATGAATAATAAAAGAAATCTGAGCAACTTGAACTGTTACACATAAAATGTAATACAAAATATACGATCGTTTGTCAAGTAAAACTGCATTTAATCAAGCGAAACACAAATGATTGATATTTTCCATCCTGTGCTGTTAATAATTGTCATCGATAGTTAACCTTTCTGTGCTCCATGTTTCTTTTTTTTTTCCTGTTTAATCACGTTGCATGCTCTAGTTTCACAATGTTGCAAAAAGAGTGAAACACGTCAGATCGTTGCAGATGAAATTCACAACAAAACTACAGCGGCGACAAACAATTTGAAAATCGAAATTTTCTCGTGAACGAGGCCTTGAACGAAAAGAATTTCATTCTGCTTGTTTTATCTCACGAGAGATCTTAACTATTACTCGCGTGTATTTAAGAAGATACAAAGATAGGGGAAAGATAGAAAGATAGGTCAGACCACCATTATTTTTTTTAAATAAGATATTTAATAGATATTTAATAGATATTTAATAGATATTTAATAGGGTGGATCCCACGATCTTATCTTAATTAAGATATATGTATGTATATGTATATTTTAAAATAGTTCAAATTTTTTATAAATACAATAAAAGTTCCTAAACTGGTAATCAACATAATTTTCTATAAGACACACCAAATAGAACACCTTTACATTCATTGAAATTTATTAAAAATAACAAACTGTTCTCGCTATCTTTTAACTAATAAAGACAAAAATTTTTACGAAGTTAAACACATCAGGCTTTATCCTACTTTCCCCAACTGCTAGTCGAGATAGGAAATCGAAAAAAAAAAAAAAAAAAAAAAAAAAAAGAAAGGAGAAGAAACATGCAAATTACGAGTGGCGATATTTAAAAAATGAAATCTATTATACAACTACGTATTGAAATGGAGACATCAATTTCTTTCTCATTCCAAAGATTTCACTTTTGCATTTACATTACTAATGTCTCGCGTAAAATTCCATTATTTTTTTTTAAGCTCCTTTATTCTATGTTCTAACAACAATTACAATTAACCGTATTACTTTCAGAGATTTTACATTAAAAATCGTGAGAATTCCGATAAAATTGTCAGTACGGTATTATGCTGTTACAAATGTGTGTTTCTACGTGTAATGTGTTAGTGAGAAAGCATGATTAAACAGAAGAAGCGAGTCTTTCTTCTTTCTCTCGAAGAATTCGTGTAACAGTTCCCAGCAAATGAATGTTACGATTGTTCATTCTTAGATAGACATTTAGATTATTACGTTATTACGTTAGCTTAGAATTTTCAGCTATAAATCTAGGTGAAATTTCAAGCTGCGAATTTTAAATTGTACGTCAAATTGCTGTTCTAAGTTGCAAATTTTTTTACTACAAGCTAGATCGTGATTTTGAATTGTAGTTATAAATTGTAAATCTTAAATTATAAATCAGACTGCGATGTCGAATTGTAAATTTTAAATCATAAATAAGTTGCAGCACCAAACTGCAAATCACACCTTGTAATTGTAATTTTGAATTATACAATTAGATCCCAGTTCTAAATTGTAAATTTTCAATTAGTTAGACTGCGACTTCAAATTGTAATTTTCAAATTATAAATTAGATTCTAAATATGTTATAAATTGTAAATTTTCAATTACAAATAAAACTGCAATGTCAAGTTATAAATTTTAAATTATGACTTAAATTGTAACTTTAAATTGTAAATATTGAATCAATGGCCATTTTTAAATGTGAATACATTACATTCTAGGTTTAAATTCTATATCTTAAATTACAAATTAGACTATAATGTCAAATTATAAATTTAAAATTATAAATTAAATTGCAGTCTCAAATTGTAAATCTTGAGTTGCAATTTTAAATCATAAATTAAATTTCAATTCTGAATTTTAACTCACGCACTGAACTGCAATTTCAAGTCGTAAATTAAATCTCTAGTTCTGAATTGTAAATTCTGAATTATAAGTTAGACTGCAATGTCAAATTATAAATAATTCCAAACTGTAAGTCTGGAATTGTAATTGTAAATCGCAAATTAAACGTCAGTCCTGAATCGTAGAGATTTAATCATGAATTAAATTGTAAATTCCAAATAAATCAAAATAAAAAATTCCAGTGCTTAGAGTTAAAGTTTTTAATTGCAAATCAAATTGCAATTTTACACTGTACAATTTCGAACCCGTGACTCTGAATTCTAAACATTGAGTCGCAAATTTCATAGACCCTGAAATCGTCATTTCAAACCTAACTCAAACCTCAAGCCACAAACCAAATCAAACCACGGCGCAACTACGCCACCCTAAACTTCGGATGCTAAATTTTTAGAACTTGAGAATTTTGACTTCGAATTTCTCTTTTTCAGCCAGTGTCAGTTCGCACGAAACCTACATTTACGTAACCACGTGCTGTTATGATACATCACCCAAAAAAAAAAAAAAAAAAAAAAAAAAAAAAAATATTCCACTGAAGCGTACGAGAATTTTCGTGAGGCAACGATTATGTGAACGCGCCACGTGAAAGTGTATAATACGAGACCCAGGTGGATCTCCACGAGTGGAAAGTGGACGTCAAACGGAGTAACATTTAAACCAACTCTGCAGTTACACGCTGGTATCAGTTCCTCGAGCGTTCCTCACGTGTTCGTTTTGTTTGTTGTCGTTTGTCCGCCAGTTTCAAATCGGCGTAGTCGTCGATACGAAATTACGCTCGTTGTATTACGAGATCGTAATTACGACAAGAACCGGTTGCGCGTAATTTGTTGCAATAAAACTGGAACTCGCACGTGGAGTACAGACGAGGCGCAAACAGTTTCAAACAGGGAGTGTTCGGTGGATGGGAAGTGGATCGGTGGATGTTTCATGTGTCGGAGAATAGGTGAGATTCGCCGACATTTGAGGAGGAGACGGTTAATATCACGGTGTGTGATTCGTTGCTATTGTTTCTCCTTGTTTTTCGCGCAGCGGAAAAAAGAGGAGAAAGTTTCAGTTGAACTCTTGCGGTGACGCAACCTTCTCGCTGTGCACCGTACTCGGGCATAATCGAGAAATAATAAAATAATAGCAATTAAGTGGAATTTTGAGTATTGGTGAAATAATAGGAATTAAGTGCAATTTTGAATATTGAAATTCGGTTTATTTTTACGACGTGCCACGTCGAGAATTTTTTGTCCCAAAATTGCAACGCTTCCTCAGTTTTAAGTATATTTAAGTAGAACGAAATATCGGCAAAGCAAATATAATAAATTTATCACTTCTCAATGATTTCTATCCAGTGATATCGTACAGACGAGTTCAAAAAGAAAGCGACGAGTTACCGTATACGGTTTTGGTCGCTCGTTATGGTCCGCAATTGGTCAAAGCTCAAATTGCATCCGTTTGTTTTATTCTGAGATGTTTTTACGCTGTGTAACAGACGGAAAAGTGAAGACACTTTTCTTCACGATTTACACAAAAAATCGTGTAATAGAAATATTGGAAAGATTTTTGTCGTAATTCAATCTAAAGATTGAAACAGCCTTCCCTCAAAAACTTGTTGTACGATTTTTTTTTTTTTTTTTAATTTTTTATCAATTTATTGAACCTCGAATATCAAACGAAAACGAATAGAACAATTTCTTGAATATTAAGGCATCTATCAAGTAACATTCAAAGTTCAATGAAATGGCAAATGAAAGAAAGGGAACGTGCATCAAGTTCCACTCTCATCACGAGTCAACTTCCCACTAAAGAGGAAGCTTCGATTTCTTTGTCGATTGATGAATCAAAAAAATGTTTCACTGTTTCCACGTACTATAACAATTTACAGCATTTTCGACAAGAAAAACAATTTTAAAATAGAATAAACGGCGAAAGTGGAGACTTCAAGCTTCAAAATGAACGCAGGCTTTTCTTCTTTTTAGAAAATTACAACAGTTTAACGCTAGAACTGCCAAAGTGGTTAAAACCTATTAAACATTTTACAAATGTAGAACAATATATTTTTAAAGATTTGAACGATCCTGCATGAAATACATAAATATATTATTTATCTAGATTAATTTAATAATTTATTTACTGTTTCACTACGTATAATTTAATTAATAATTTATATAAATAAATTTAACCATTTATTTACTGTTTCACTACATAATTTAATTAATAATTAATAATTTCATTAATTTAATTAATAAATTTATATAAATAAATTTAACAATTTATTTACTGTTTCACTACATAATTCAATTAATAATTAATGATTTAATTAATTTAATTAATAAATTTATATAAATAAATTCAATAAATGTATAAATAATATAATAAATATTTATTATATAAATAATATAATAAATTTATATAAATAAAAGCTACTGTATCTTTTTACTTTAATGTCTCTGCTTTAATTGTTCTAATATTAAATATTTAGTGTCAGAAAAATTAACGAAAGTATTGATTAACTGTATACACTACAACAACTTAAACTGAAAAGTTCGTGCGTTTTTGATAAAATATTTCTGTTTCTATAATTTTAATAAATTCCTCTTACCACAGTCGCAAGTATATTTTAAAAATATACTAAAATATACTAAATATATTTTAAAAATATACTAAAACTAAAACAACCGGTCTTTAAAAATACACATCGAAATATTCTACGTACAGATCGTTATAATCTAAACGAGAATAACTGAAATAAACAAACTGTCTAATACAAACAGAAATAAATATCAATTATGCAGAAGTGCGCGCAACGCAACTGCATAACACGCAAAAATGTTTAAAGGGGAAGGATAGAATATTTAAAAAAAGTTATTTTAGCACATAATATGCAAAAATGTTTAAAGAAGAAGAATAAAATATTTAAAGTGGTGCATTAATTATAACACCTGATTATAGAAGAAACAATTTTCGATTTTCATTTATTCGACGATTATTACTTGTTGTTTATGGAACATTTTAAAACTGAACATAAATATCCACAGTATGCTAATAACTGTACATTTTTATCTTTCGGTTATTTAAATTGCCGTGTAATCTCATTCCGAGGTAAATGAGCAAGTTATTTTGTTGTCAACGGTGTTGATGCAACTGCTTTCAATTAGGAGTTTCAACGTTTAAACTTAATTAACTGTGACAAGTACTTATCGCGAAGAAATTGTAATTTTTCGCGCCACGACGAGATATAACGTACACTCGATCGAAACCTAAGAAATACACGTCAATTGGAGATACCGTAGAATATTTGTTATTTTTTAATTACAATATAATAATTGTTATATTTACAATAATTGTTGTATTTATAATTTATTTTTATCTGAATTTGGACGAGTGAAAGAAAATATAACTAGACTGTGAAATTTCAAAAGTGGCAAAGATTCAAGAATCATGTGGTATACGAAGTGTAACTTTTCTATTTCTTATCTTTTAAAAAATATACATTAAATGTTATATTTAATCTAAATTTAGACTAATGAGAAAAGTATAACCAGACTGTGAAATTTCAACTGAAAAAAAAATTCAAAAAACATGTGATCTTTTTTATTTCTTGAACAAGTGTAACTTTTTTATTTCTTATTTTGAATAAAAAAAAAAAATTGTATGTCGGCGAGACAATGTCACATAAAAAAAAAAAAAGAAAGAAAAAATTGTGCTGCTATCTTTGGTATAGACTAAAAATCTTCTTTTCCTTACAGAATTATTATTCGTAATTCCAATTACTAATTGTTCCATTATTCTTTAGAAAGATACAAATTTTGGAAGATGTGAAGATTTAAGTGCAAATGTAGAAACATAAATATAAAATGTAAATATGAAATATAAATATTAAATATAAATATGAGCATAAATGTAAATGTAAATACAATATTATAAATACAAAATGTGAACATAAATATAATTTAAATATAAAATACAAATGCAAAACCACAAATGTAAAAAATGCAAATCAAAAATCTTTCCTAGCTTACGAAACGAAATTACAACCTTGGTAAAAATTTATATTATTATAAGTTTTATATAAAAATTATAAAATATTATAAGTTTTATATAAAAATTATAAAATATTATAAGTTTTATATAAAAATTATAAAATATTATATATTATATATAAAATAAATATTATAAAATTTTTATATTACATATTACATATAAAATAAATATTATAAAATTTTTATATTATATATTACATATAAAATAAATATTATAAAATTTTTATTTTATATGTAAAATAAATATTATAAAATATTATATATTACATATAAAATAAATATTATAAAATTTTTATATTATATGTAAAATAAATATTGTAAAATATTATATATTACATATAAAATAAATATTATAAAATTTTTATATTATATGTAAAATATATATATTATAAAATATTATATATAAAATATATATTATAAAACATTATATATTATATATAAAATATATATTATAAAATATTACATATTATATATAAAATATATATTATAAAATTTTCATATCATTTTAAATTACCATCACTCCAAAAAGTCTAAACGCAACGGATTACAAAATTCGCGAATCAGAGATTTTCATTTCCTTGCAGAATTATGACCACCCTCGTCAAGCAACTCCAACTGCTGCTCCTGACAACGCTCTTCCAAGAGCATCAATCGCTCCTAGGCGGTATAATCAACTACGGCCCTACGGAAGAATCTCTAAACAGGGTCGATCCGAACGGACAAAATTACGACTTTATCATAGTGGGCGCAGGATCGGCCGGATCGGTACTGGCCAATCGCCTCTCGGAGAACGAACGGTGGAAGGTGCTCCTACTCGAAGCTGGAGGGACCGAGACCTCGTTGCAGCAGATACCCATTCTATGCGGCTACTTTCAACTGCTCTCTCGGTTCAACTGGGGCTACAAGGTGGAGCCCCAGGAAAATGCGTGTCTCAGTATGATCGATCGTCGGTGCTCGTGGCCGCGGGGGAAAACTCTCGGTGGTACGAGCACCATTAATTACATGATCCATACGAGAGGAGTCAAGGCTGATTATGATAACTGGGCCGCGCTTGGGAACGAGGGCTGGTCCTACGACGAGGTTCTTCCTTACTTCAAGAAGAGCGAGAAGTTCAATATTCCAGGTTACTATTTATCTATCTGTTACTATTAATTTATCACTATTGTTCATCAATGTTAATTTAATTAAAAAACCCAGACAATTGCTGGGTAGTAACCGTAAATTCGTTCTGTTTGTGTGCTTACTGTAAGATTCGGAACATTTTCGCGGAATAATCAGAGGCAATAATCAGTGTAAAATCTTTGAAAAAAAGGAAAAGGAAAAACGAACTTTACGACCGTAGATAGGAGATTCACGATTTAAAATGCGATCAAGTACAAACAAACAGGGTACGACCAATGCACAAACAAACAGGGTACACAACCCTAATTAACATTCCCCCATTCATATCCATCAGGCTTGCACAACACGTCGTATCACGGCTACAAAGGGCACTTGTGCGTGGAACAGGTGCCCTACCACACGGATCTGGCCAAAGCGTGGCTGAAAGCCGGACGAGAGCTCGGCTACAACATCATCGACTACAACGGCGACGAAGAGATCGGCTTCTCCTACCTGCAGCTGAACATGGACAGAGGGACCAGGTGCAGCGCCTCGAAAGCCTACCTTCGCATCGACCGACGAAATCTGAACATAGTGACGAACGCGAGGGTCGTCAAGCTCCTCGTCGACGAGGGCACGCGGCGAGCTTACGGCGTCGAGTATGTGAAACACGGGCAACGCAACAGGGTGTACTGCGCCAAGGAGGTGATCCTCTCGGCGGGTACCATCGACTCGGCGAAACTGTTGATGCTGTCGGGGATAGGGCCCGAGGAGCACTTGCGAGAGTTGGGGATAAAGGTGATCCGAAACTCGAAGGTCGGCTACAACATGTACGAGCACATAGGCTTCTTGGGCCTGACGTTCGTGGTGAACGAGACGGTGTCGTTGCTGCAGAGCAGAGTGACACGTCCCACCGTGGCTCTGGAGTATCTGCTGAAAAGAAGCGGCATGATGACGATCCCGGGTGGAGCCGAAGCGGTGGCATTCCTCAGGACCAAGTACGCCACCGACAGCAGAGCGGACGTGGAATTGTTGTTCGCGTCTGGAGGACTGAGCTCTGACGGTGGTCTGCCACTGAAGAAAGCCCTGAGAATAACCGACGAGCTGTACGACACCGTGTACAAGCCGATTGAGGAGAAGGACGTCTGGACAGTTTGGCCTATCGTTCAATATCCGAGGAGCGTTGGGAGGCTCACGCTGAGGTCCAAGGACCCATTCGCACCGCCTCGAATGGACCCGAACTTCTACTCGCATCCGTACGACTTGGAACTGGTGTTGGAAGGGCTGAAACTGGCTGTGAATATATCGAGGACCGAATCGTTCCAGAGGTACGATAGCAAGCTCCACGACGTCAAGTTCCCGGGCTGTGCGAGCCACCAGTTCGCCACGGACGATTATTGGAGGTGCGCTATCAAGCACCTGCCCTCGATGATGAATCACGAGATCGGCACGTGTAAAATGGGGCCCGAGAGCGATCCCGGCGCTGTCGTCGATCCGAGATTGAGAGTACATGGCGTGAGAAGGTTGAGGGTGGTTGATGCCTCGGTGATGCCCGTTATGCCCAGAGGACACGTAAACGCAGGGATTTTTATGATCGGGGAGAAAGCGGCCGACATGATCAAGGAAGATTGGAAGTGATTGGTCGTGAGGATTAGATTGAACCTTGAGAGACGAGTTTCGTATGGATTGGTGATTTTCGTGGACTCGATGGACATTTTTCAGTGTGTGTTTTTCTTTTTCTTTTTTTTTTTTTTAATGTATTTAATGTAGTATCGTTGATTGAACGAATTATTACGCGAGAGTGGAAAATAATTCGTTTTATCGAATTCCTCGAAGTTTTCTCCAGATTTTCATCTCTGATCTTAATTAATAATTCTAATTAATAATATAACTGATGTGAATAGAAATATTAATTTCACTTGTTTTGTTAATAAGTGTTTTATGAGATTCTACGTGCGTATTAATGATAAATATTATAAATATATTATATCAGTACACATTTATTTGAAGCTCATCAAAATCAACTACATATATTCTATTTAAAATAATCACCAAGAAAAGAAAGATTGGCAAAAAAATAAAAGATTACTGAGATAAAATTGTTAAACAACTTTGAACGATTCGTATCTCTATTCGTTTGTAATAAAACAACGTCAACGCAACGATGACTGAATGTAATTTTTCATTTTAATGCACAATGCAACATCATCGTGCGGAATAGTAATTTTGCTTCATTTGTTAGGTAGAAGATAAATGGTTTGCGTGCACAACGCGTGGTCGCGCAACAATCAGGTGACCCACATCGTTGTTCATTCTAGTAAAAGCAAACTTTATGTACAAAAGCATAGACTACAGATTAATCAATGATGGCATAAATATGAAGGATGAATCATACTTCTTTCCATGTACATACGTATGCAATAATCTATTGTATATTATTTTATACGTATGTTTAATGTATACACAAGATATATATGAAGTATCTATACACACACATACACATATATATATAGATAGATATTATATTTATAAATTTATATAAATTTATATAAAATTTATATTTTATATAGATAAATATTAAAATTTAAAATATATTTTTATATAAAATTTATATAAAATTATATAAATTTATAATTATATAAATTTTATTTATAAATACATATATATATATATATGTCATAATATATGTATATATTTTTTTATATATTATATTGTATACTAAGTAATTATTATTAATAACGAATGAATATGGGAAAATATAAAAGGACAAATGAAACGAAATAAAATTAATAATTTTCTAAAATGGAATTATAGTTAACAAGAGATATTAGCATTTTGCTGATATTCAACGAGTTAAAAATGATTTGTTTGAAATTAATCTTTCGTCTGTCAGCAATAGAAATCGCCAACAATCATTCACTAAAAAGATTCTAATTATATTATAACAAAATTTATTATAATTCGTTTCATAAGTGAAGCATAAAATGTATTGAATTTGTTATATCGTAATTTAATAATATGTGTGGAAGTATTTTTAGAGACTCATAAATATTGAAAGTCTTGTAAACATTCCCGCCATTTCAGTTATGAATCTGTAATATCGAGCTGTAATATCGATCGTTTAACAATTAATTGTTATCTTCGTTCCAATTTCTGCAGCAATATAATCAACATTTTAGACCTAATTCCCCTGCTAGCTATAATTTTTTCACCTGATGTCGTAATATGACTATTTTTAATTAAGTTTTTTAACCAAGTAATTATCCGAATGAATGTTACACGTATCTAGGGAAAAAATATCAGTCACAAAAATCTACAACATACAGATGTATATCGAATAAATTTCAAATATTTAAAATTCGAATATTTAAATATTTAAGAAAAAAGAAACAAAAATTTTCAAACATCTTTTACATAACAATTTATTAAAGTTAATTAAAGTTAAGAAATTGAAAGGAAACGACGATGTATCTTATATTGTAAATCGGTGAAAAAAAAATTACCATATTTAAAATCACCAAAACAATTACTACGAGTACAAAATGTGAACATTATTGTTACAACTGTGATCAAAAAAAGTTTCATTTACTTTAGGTATTATATGAATTTGATTCGTTTTTAGAAATAATCTAATTTTAACAAATTAATTGAAATCCATAAAGTACTTTCAGTAAGCCTCTACCTTTCCTGTTTCAAATATAATGTATGTACGATACTTCCTGACTGTAACTTCTAGTAACATGCGCAATTACGATTCGTGTTCATCTTCGTACGTAAAAAAAAAAAATTCTCCCAAGCAAACAGAGAGAGCAATGGCGAGAAACAACACGTACGAAATGAAATCATTTGTTAAAACAATGAACCGTCAGCGTTTGCACCGACACATACATACATATTCGGATTATTAACCCTATGAGCCTGTATCCAATTGCCTGAATTAAACCACTGTCTATCTCTATTCATTTCACCTTGAGGTTATTCAAGATACACTCGTATCTCTGTACACTCTTCGACATTTTTCTCCCAATATTGACATCAATATTCCGATCTTCCAACAAACAATACGATCGAATTAACATTCCTATTTGTTTACCGCGTTCCGTGAATCACGTTTTTCTTCTTATCAACAACGTGACAATCGAAGTTAATTTCATAGAAATTAAACACGTTACATCTCGACGTTTCAGAATTTAATCGCTCGTTTGCTCTGACGTTAAGAATAAATTCCCACGTCCGTCGTGTATGACGTGTACTGTTATTCAACGCAGAGACGATTAGTCGAGATTCTCTCTGCTTATTGCGCACAAAGGGACAGAGCTAGTGACACATGCACAAATTGGCAAGTGTCACTACGCGTGGGCTCGAACACACCGATATTGACAGATCAGAATTGGTCAGAGTTAATTTGCAAATTTACAGATGCAACGTAGAAGCAGCTCAGCAAACACAACAACCACCAATCATTCGAAGCGTACCACCGTTGACGTATTTTTCGCGTAACCGGCGATACACAGAATCTCAACTTACTACGGGGGAGGATCAAGCGGTGCAGCTCTAAGTTAATATATCGCATCGCCTGACTAATCTGCGAGAAAAACACTCATACCACATCTACTCCACGTACCTGATACGACGAGAGCCTCGTTTGGACCGCAAGTGTGAACGTTTCCCATTGTCAGATCAGATTCAGTTTCTCTCTTGAACGAGGCGCAGCGACAACAAACCGGCACCAGCAAACAACCAGCACTAACACCGTCACCGTACTGACACTGAACCGCGCGTTAATCGGGCAGTGATAAAATACAGATTGTTTCAAATACCCCGGTAGATCATTAATAACATGCAACGACTCGTGTTAGCCGCGCGTCGTAAGGTTACGATGTCACTCAAAGCCACTACCCAAAAATTGTTCGTAGCTTTTGCAAAACCCTAGCACGCAGCGCTGCCAACCGCGAAACTTGCGCGCACGGCGACATCTCTTCAAAATGGATGCTCTCCCTTCCAGGCTCATATTCTCGTTTTTGAATCGCGTTACGTTCGCCTCGAACGAGCATCGATGTACAAGATTAGAAAAAAGATTCAATAATCACGGAAATTCTTTGAAAACGTTAATAATTTTTCCGAGAATTCCAATTATAATTCCTATCTGTTGCAACTAATAATTTCGAAGCTGGCGCGAAAGTTTAAATTTTAAAAATTTCAGCGATAATTTTGCAACGAGGTTTTATCGAAACGCATTGGAGAAAAAGATGAAAACTTACGTATTCGTATTCGAAATGCATTTTCATTTTCTTGTTTAAATATAAGGAATCGAGTTTTCTTCGAACTGTATCAAAATGTATTTGATTTGTGTAACGAAAAGAAGAAAAATATATACGAAATGTTAAACAACATAAGTTTATATATACTATACATGCACATGTATGTGCGTGACATTTTAATGTTGTGCTTATGTCATATACTCTTGGCAGCACTGGTAGCTATCTGTAAGCATAGAACAAAACATAACCTCTAATGTTTGATACTTACATAAGTTATTGTTTCACTTTGTTTTTACATAGGATTTAGAATATAATTTGTTTCGTGTAATAACGATCGTTAAATTAAACGCAGTTTTATTATTAAACATCGATAAAATGTCGGAAGACGAAGTAGAGAGCTTTGAGATCACAGATTACGACCTTGAAAATGAATTCAATATTAATCGTCCCAGGCGTAAATTATCGAAAAAGCAGCAAATGCTTGGTGAGTATTACTTTTCAGACGATTATCATGTTTGTTCAGAATGTTATTGAATTCGTCTTTTTGTCGTTGTAACGTGAATGTCAAAAACTAACCAAAACTTTGTTGTTTTAGGCATTTGGGCCGATGATAGCGACGAGGATGAATTGTCTGCCAGACCGTCGTTCAAAACTTTTGATAAAGGACCAAAGAATTATACAACGCCCGTGAATTTTGTAGCGGGAGGCATTCAACAAGCTGGAAAACCAAAAGAAGAAACAGGGGACAAAGACGACGATGAAAGTGATAATGAGAGCGCAAATAAATCACAAAAAGAATTTCCAAATAGTTCAAGGTAAATTTCAGACAATGAGACTTATTTGCTTCATGCTCTCTTCTGATTGATAAGTTATTTTTCTATTTGTAGCTCTGAAGATGAAAGGCCAAGTTCCTTACAGCAACGCACATCATTTTCATTGAATACCGATGGAGACATTGCAGGTTTACGTAGAAAGAAGCATAAAGTAAATCCTTTGTTAATGCAAAGTGGAATGGGAAGTTGGGAGGTTTATACAAAAGGAATTGGAGCTAAACTGTTGCTACAGGTATGTATAATAGTAATGTAATAATTATTTTATTGATACTATCATATAGATATACTTATATCCAAACATTGTATGATCTAGATGGGTTTTGAACCTGGAAAAGGCTTGGGCAAACAATTGCAAGGTATAAGTGCACCAGTAGAAGCACATCTGAGAAAAGGTAGAGGAGCAATTGGTGCTTATGGTCCGGAGAAAGGTCCTAAAGTTCCTGAAAAGAAAAAGGATGAAGAAACGGAAGAAGGAAAGGAATCGAAAGCCAAATTATCGCAATGGAGAAAAGGAGACGCAAGTGTGACAAAGAAAAAAGTAAATTACATATATCGGAGCGTCGATCAAGTTTTGGAAGATGGAAAGCTAAAACCCAATAAGAAAGTAAGAATATCAAATGAAATGAGTAGGGTTAAAGTCATAGATATGACTGGACCTGAGCAAAGGATTCTTAGTGGATATCATGCGATAGCTGGAGGGCAACAACGACCAGACGAGAATGTTGTAGTTACCGATAAAAAATCTAAAATTAATTTTGCACTGCCAGAACTTCAGCACAATTTAAATATACTTGTGGATATGTGTGAGCAGGATATTATACAAAATGACAGAAGGACACGGCATCTAAGTGATAGAGTAGTTGCGTTAGAAGCAGAAAAGAAAAACTTATCTAAAGTCATAGATCAACATGGTCAGTTGATTGATACGTTAGAAAATGTTCTCGCAATTGTAGATAGATTGATGGACGAAACAAATCAATTAACGTTACAAGAAACCGCAGATGCTTTCAAAGACTTGCAAGATAAATATTATGAGGAGTATAAAATGTACGAACTTGGTGAATTAGCTAGCAGTTTCGTTGGCCCGAAGATAAAGGATTGTTTAGCTAATTGGAATCCATTAATACAACCGAAACAATGTATTAAACTATTCCATCAGTGGAAAAATATTTTAGTGACTGGTACCACCACTCTCCAGACAAGAACTATGCATCCATATGATCATCTTGTCTGGAATTCGTGGATGCCATCAATTAGGGGTGCTATACAGTAAGTAATTTGTTTCACTTGAAAAATTTCAGTCAGTGTGCTTGTATAATATTATATATATACGTATATGATTTCTTTTTTATAGACAGTGGACGTGTAGACAACCAGAACCACTAATT